GCAACTCATTGTTTCCCTGTATTTTACAAATGTATTGGTTTGTAGAAGTTTGGGTTTTGTGTTTTACTACATAGGATTTGAGAAGCACTGTACTAGACATTGGAATATAATATGAAATTTTGTCAATTTTAGGAGCTTATATTCCTAGAAATCATATTGTTGATTTTAGCTGTTAGTTAAAGGTTAATATGTCTGCTGACTTCCTGGAATTTTTACATCAACAGGGAACTCCATTTAAATAACAACCTGTTACGAGTTCTACCTTTTGAGATGGGGAAACTGTTTCAGTTGCAGACTTTAGGCCTAAAAGGTATGACTTCCCATATTTGTGCTTCTTTTGGTTTGTGTATGTGTGTGTGTGTGTGTCTTTGAATCGAATGAAGCCGTAAGAGGGAATCCTTTTGCCTGGAGATTTATGGGCTAAGTCTTGCCCAGACTTCATCAATTTCTTAAGTACATGGAGTAGTTTTCTCTCTTGTCCACCTATAAACTGTCAACTAGTCTTTGTATTATTTTTACTCCTAGTCTAGCATTGCTTTTCTAGCCTTTGTTTCAATCGCCTCTGTTCTGGTGATACATTCTTGAGGTTATACTTCTCTTATGTCATCATGCTGTGAACAGCTTTTTAAAATGTTCAAATCTCAAAAAATGGAGACTCTCACAAAGTATAGGAAACAGTAAGTAGAAAATTTGGACCTGTTAGTAAAGTATTTTAAAAAGTATTTTTTAAAAACTTGATTTATGTGGATTTCCTTAATATATTAGAATTTGATCCAGTAAGAACTATGGGGGAAACATTTTTTTAAATATATATTTTTATTGATTTCAGAGAGGGAGACGGGGGGAGAGAGAGAGAGAGAGAGACATCAATGATGAGAGAGGATCATTGATCAGCTGCCTCCTGCACGCCCCCTACTGGGGATCGAGCCCGCAACCCAGGCATGTGCCCTTGACTGGAATCAAACCCAGGACCCTTCAGTCCTCAGGCTGACGCTCTAACCACTGAGAAAATTGGCTAGGGCAGGAAATTTTTTTTTAAACCAGCAATATTAAAAGTCATTTTAATAATATGTCAATACCTACAAATGTTTTATCAAAATAAGTGATTCTTCACCAGTCTTGTAGATTACTTTATAATTGATTCTTTTTAAAAAGTCACTTAATGGCCCTGGCTGGTGTGGCTCATTTGGTTGGGTATCGTCCATCCCATGCACTGAAAGGTGGCGGGTTTGATTCCCAGTTAGGGCACATATCCGGGTTGTGGGTTCAATTCCCGGGTCAGAGAGTGCGTAAAGCCTATTGATATTTTGATGTCTCTCTAAAAAATATCACATAATGAAGTCTTCAAAAATTGCACACTTTATTTCTTAAAAATACAGTTAATAAAATGAGGTTTATTTCTGTACATTTATTGTATATCATATACTAGTAAGTAATGTTCACAAAAACAAAATGGAAAAAGGCAAATAATACGTTTACAAATGTATATAAAATCATATTGAATAAATGTTAGCTTTATAAATGGTGCTTTGGGAAGTTTTTCTGTGTGGGATAGACTTGTTAAGTCTTAGAGGTTAGGGAAATGTGAGCTTTAAATGCCTTTTTCTGTTAACATATTTCTATGGTAAGCCTGGCCTTTTTATTTTTAAATTTTAGAATCGCAAATATAAAATGTAGCAAAGTATATTTATATACTGACCACCAGAATTAACAATTAATATTTTGTCACTTTAATGCAAAAGAAATAGAATGTTATAGAATTACTTAGGAAATTTCAAGAGTTTTAGGGGCTGTGTGCCAGGAACACTGGAGAAAAACCAAATATACAAGGTGTGGCAAAAGTAGGCTTTCAGTTGTGAGTATGTGAAACACTGTTTATTCTTTTATTATTTATTAATTATTGTATTACTTTTCATACAATCAACTGCAAACCTGTTTTTGCCCCACCCTATATATTTATCATAAATCACAGTTTAACATAGGGTCTTTTACATAGCAAAAATTTAATTTTGATGAAGTCTAGTTTATCAGTTTTTCCTTTTATGGATCCTACTTTGGGTGTCAAGCCTGAGAACTCTGAATAGCTCTAGATCCCAAAGATTTTCTCCTATGTTTTGTACTGAGTTTTATCTCTCATATTTAAGTTTGTGATCCATTCTGAGTTAGCATTGACTTAAAAGAAGCGAGGTTTAGTTCAAGGTTGTGTGTGCGAGCATGCACACCCCTGTGGGTGCATGTCTAGTTGCTCCAGCGCCATTTGTTGAAAAGTCTGTCCTCCATCGACTTGCTTTGGCTTTTGCCTCTTTCAAAAACCAGTTGGACATACCTGTGTAGCTCGATTTGTGGATTCTCTATTCTGCTCCACTGAGCTATGTGTTTATTCTTCTGCCAGTGAATGCCACTTGGAACTTGTAATAGGGTAAAAAGTCTTGAAATAATGTCTTGAAATAGGATTATTTTAATATTTTTATGACGATGCCTCCATTATAGTCATGTTCCACATAATGTTTTTGTTGATGATGGAACACATCCTCATATACAATAGTAGTTTACCATATAGCCTAGGTGTGTGATTGACTATGCCATCTATGTGTAAGTGCACTCTAGGATATTTGCACAATTACAAAATTGCCTAAGGACACATTTCTCAGAACAGATCCTTGTCAGTATACTAGAGGCCCAATGCACAAAAATTCATGCATTGCGGTGGGGGGGGGGGTCCCTCAGCCTGGCCTGCCCCCTTTCACACTCTGGGAGCCCTCAGGGGATGTCCTACTGACGGCTTAGGCCCACTCCCTGACCTCCCTCTGCGGAAGGCAACTGGGCCGATAATGGGAAGGCGCCGCCCCCATCACCCCGCTGCTGCCACTGCCGGCCAGCAGGCCCTCGCTTCTTAGCGCTGGCCCCGCCCCCCACCCACCCTTTGGTGGGTGGGGGGCGATCTGGGGCCAGGCCGGCTGGGGAGGGGCTGTGGGAGGTTGAGGCACAGCAGGTCGCACCCTGTCCAGCTCTGTGGAGGCGTGGCGCCGGGAGCGGAGGTGCCATTCCCACTCCCGCGGCTGCAGCCCTGCCTCCACTCCCGCTCCCATGTTGGTGCAGCCTCCTCTCCTGCAGCGGCACCTCTCCCGTGCTGCCGCTGGCCCTAGGCCCTCGGCCCTCACAGCTGCTGTGGCTTTGTCCAGATGGACGTCCAGAAGACGTCTGCTCTAATTAGCATATTACCCTTTTATTAGTATAGATGGTGCATGAATATAGTCTTTTTATGTTTTTTGTTAATCCTCACCTCAGGATATTTTTTTTCCCCCGTTGATTTTTAGGGAGAGTGGAATAGAGGGAAAGACAGAGAAACATCCGATGTGAGAAAACACATCGATTGGTTGCCTCCTGCACGTGCCCCAACCAGGGCCCAGATCGGGGAGGAGCCTGCAACCAAGGTACATGCCCTTGACTGGAATCAAACACAGGACCCTTTGGTCCACAAGCCAGTGCTCTGTCCACTGAGCCAAACCAATTAGGGCCAGTCTTCTTTTCCAAAATGGTTTTAGCTTTTCTAGTTCTTTTGCCTTTTGATATATAATTTTATTTTTTTAAATAAATCTTTATTGTTCAGATTATTACAGTTGTTCCTCTTTTTTCCCCCCATAACTCCCCTCCACCCAGTTCCCACCCCACCCT